AATTTGAAAAGCCTTCAAATTAGTTCTTCTTTGAAGTTCTGGTAGAACTCAGCTGAGCATCCATCTGGTCCTGAGCTTTTCTTTGTTGAAAGGCTTTTTATTACTCATTCTATCCTGTTGTTAGCTATTGGTCTATTTAGGTTTTCTCTGTCCACTTGATTCAATTTTGGCAGGTCTGGGTATAATCATGTCTGCCTGTTCAGTTTCCTGGTCTCTTCAGCTGCTCACAGGAGCTGCCAGACTCAAAGGGAAAGCAAGTCACATTCTGTTTTACTTGAATTCCCCTGTACCCTAGGTCACACTTGCTCTGATCTCCAGGGTTCCTGCAGCAGCAATCTGCATCAAAGTCTCTTCAAGATGGTTCCCTACCTCAGCTCTCCACTCATCAATTGAGGAAGAGCACACTTTTTAAACACCAGCTAAGATCAGCTAAGTTCGTGCTGCTTTTCTCTTCAACAGGGTTTTCCATGCCAAACATGTCCATTGTGTTTCTCTCCGGGCATTATCTCTCCCCTTTGTGGTGAGTTGAGGCTGCTGCTGCTGCAGCAGTAACCAACTTGGCTCCAGTATACTCTTTCTTCTTCTTTAGTCAATGTACCCAACTTTCTGAATATCTAAGAGACTCTGTCAGATAACAAATTTCAATGAGTCCTCCCTTTCATCTACCTTGCTGAGAAGTTGTCCTACTGCTTAAATCCAGAGCCATGGAGCACCTGGAAATGCAACTTTCCTCTAATCCACCATATTTTTTATTTTTAAGTATTTTCTTGGAAAATATCACACTTTTCCTCCTCTGCTGCCATGTGGCTTTTATCACAAATCAGTTGACTAAGGTAAGGCAAGAGCTTTACCATTTGAGGTACATTCCCAGTCAATTACTGAATATTAGTGCATTTTTTATTTAAATACATGGATTTTTGCATTCAGTGAATAAATTCACTTACATTTATTGATAGAATGAATATATTATTTGCCAATTTTGTTATATGCTTTATTTTATGCCTCTTATTTTCAATGTTTGTTTATTTTTCTTTTATTTTTCTGTGTCTGTTAGGGTCTGTAAACAAGTCAAGATGGCGCCTGGCATTTTGCCAGAGGGAGTGGTTTGTGAAGTAAAGCCAGTGAGCCATTAAGTGTGGATATTTTTTATTGGTTGACTGCTGTATCTAGTTTATGTTAATTAAGATAAGCTGTGTGTAATGTATATATACCCCTCCTGTCCTAAAATAAACGGCTCCCACTCCAGCTGTATCAATGTACACAAGTTGCTCGTCACCCCCAGGTTAGTTTGCCCAGCCAGCTGGGCTGCAGCAGATGATGGGCCATACTGGGAGCCCCGGGACACTCAGGGGTAAGTGACGAAAAAAAGCTGCCCGTCCCTAGATAGGACGAGAGAAAAAAATAGCCATTTCGAAAAAATGGAGAAGATTGATACAGTATATTTGTGTCTTGTTTTGTCTCAGTGTATTGTATGCAGTCTCCCTGAGCAATTTTCAAGGTGCCTGCAAGCCTATTTCTCCTGATATTAGATTCCATGTCCTTTTCTTTTTTGACTAGAAATTTGCTCACATTCTTCAGCTACTGACCCCCTTAAAGCCAGCAATGCATCTCCAATTTCTGCTTAAAACACGACAATATTTTCTTTGCCCTCCTCTGATGAGAACACTTGTGATCACATTAAATCCACCTGGATAATCCAGGAAACTCTCCTCTTATCAAAATTCTTAATCTAATCACCTCTGTAGAGTTTTAATTTTATCTGTTGTCTTATACAGTAACATATTTACAAGTTCCTAAGGGTAGAACAACTTTTAGAGCCATTATTCTGTCTACCATATATTTTGCTCTTTATCTTTTTCTTTTAATATTTTTCTTATCACATATTTTACATAGATGATTTACATACATTTTCCTCCTATACTTCTATTTTCCCATCTGTTTTATTTTAGTTTTGTTTAAATAAATTCAGAGTTTCTATTATATTTGGGTTAGTAAAATTTAGTTTTTAAAAATTCTTTAAAAGAGTTTCTTTTTTTTAGATTTTGATGGACCTTTATTTTATTCATTTATTTATATGCAGTGCTGAGAATCAAACCCTTTGCCCCACACATACTCCGCAAGCCCTCTACCACGGAGCCACAACTCTAGCCCAGTAAAATTCAACTTTCAGAAGTTTTTGTTTGATTATATTCTCTAAGAAAGTCTCACCTGTTCACTATTTTCTAGGATTTTATTATTGTTGTTTATATGTTTTAATATTTGAGGATGGTGTGGGTTTTAAATTATATTGTAAATGTCATCTTAGGAATAACTGTGTTAGGTCATATTTTTTCCCCTCCAGAATTTCAGAGTTTTTGCTCTAATATCTTCTGCATTTGAACATTATAGTAGAGATCTCTGAAGATAGTCTGATATTTTTCCAATTGTGAGTTACTGTGCAAACTTTCTTCTTAAACTTCTGTTGCTTTAATCAAGATATATTTCATTACTTATGATTTTGTACCAGATTTTTTCCTCTAGGTAATATGTCAGCTTTTGTGTGTAGTTTCATTTTTCTTGTATTTCAGAAAAATTTTCCTGTGTATCAAAGCATTTAGATCCATCAATTGAATTTGTACCTTCAAGGACTCTGTTTATCCTTTGGTGGGATATCTTTGTCTGAATTTCATGTCCACAGTCTTTTCATTATTTGTGTTAATCACTTTGGTTCATTCTTTGTCTTCTTTATGAATTCCTTATCTTTCCTACTTGTCAGAAAATATATTTTTTAATTTTTCAATTCATTTTTGCATATAATGTAATTTCTAATCCATTAATATTACTAATTCATTAATGTGTTTACTTAATTCATTGGTAGTATACCATGGTATTCTATTTGTTTTGTTCTTTAATTGCCTTTTCACCTCCTTTTTTGTTTAAATATTTTATTTTTGAGACACTGATATGTTGAATCATGTTTTCTATTAAAAATTTAAACATAAATTTCCCTTTATTGTATTTTAAAATAGAGTTTAGGGTATTTTCCTCTGGTTCATTTCTTACATGGACAATTTAGCTTACACTTTTTATTTTCATCATTATTGCTTGCATAATTTCCTTGTAAATGGTTTCTTTCATAATCTGAGTTCTACTTGAACTCATAATCTGAGCTTCTCTTGAAGCTTCACTTTGCTTCTATGTGTGGTTTTGTGTATTTAAAAGAATGGAATAGTCCATGGGAGTAGGACTAAGTCTGAACTCAGTATAAACCTATACAGAAAAAGATAATTATATTTTGTTAGTGTCTTGCAATCAAATTCACTTTATAGAAGATGCATACTAATCCATGCCAGAATATTTTGAGGCTTCAAACAGGACTTTTGCAGAACCTCATAGTCTTGGCATTTAACATAAAGCTCTTTTCCCTTTTCTGAGATGTTTGAAAGTTGGTACTCTTTGAGCTGCCTCCATATTTTCTCATCATGTTCTTTTCAACTATGTATTTTTACTTGGAATTTTTTAGTATGTCTTTCTAATTTTACCCTCTCCCTGTACTTCTGATGGGGCTCTCAGGAAATATGTCTTAAAGAATAATTGTTTAAAAATCGTCTCTTTGGCCACTAGTTTTAGTTTGTTGGTCTGTGGTTTACTTGTGAAGATTTTTTTGTGTATATATATATATACACACAAAAATAGATATATATTGAGATTTAGAGATTTGACATAATTCTGACATTTTAGGAGATTTGTATTCAGATTTGTTCAATTTTTTTCAAAAAGTAGTTTTTCTTCTATTTAGTTAAATGTGTGTGCAAGAGTGTATAGATCTCTCTCTCTCTCTCTCTCTCTCTCTCTCTCTCTCTCTTTCTATATATATATAATCTCCTTCTCCTTGCATCATTTTCTTTTTTCTTTTTTTTAAGAGAGAGTGAGAGAGATGGAACGATAAGAGAGAGAATTCTTAATATTTATTTTTTAGTTTTTGGCAGACACAACATCTTTATTTGTATGTGGCATTGAGGATCGAACTTGGGCTGCATGCATGCCAGGTGAGCGCGCTACTGCTTGAGCCACATCCCCATCCCTCCTTGGATCATTTTCATGCATTGATTTCAGAAATACGTTGGTGACTTCAGGACCCAGGTGATCATTGCTGTGATTGTTTGGGGCATACAGGTAGTAATGGTGAGGCAGATTAAATCTACTTCCAAGTCTTGGTCCTGTTTTGGTGAGGTGTGATTTGGATTTGGGAAAGAGCTCTCCTATAAATTTTCAATTAATCTTCTGAAAAGTACATTTCAGTCTGAAGAAAGACATTTGGTGCCCAATAAGACTTCAGAAATACATTTTGAAGAAGTATATTTTTATGCCTTTATTTATTTTATACCTTTTATTTTTATGTGATGCTGAGGATTGAACCCAGTGCCTCGCATGTGCTAGGCGAGCTTTTCACTGCTAAGCCACAACCCCAGCCCAAAGTTTATTTTAAATATGACTTCTTAACCAATTTGGAATTAAATCTAGAATCTTCTCAATTTTGTCAGCTATTGTTTCTTTATTATTCAGCATTTACCTTTGACTGATGTCTTTAAATTGAAACTCGGAATTAATAGTTTATAAGAAATTTTAAGACATGAAGATTGCAAAGTTTTATAAACAATAACTGCTTTGTTTCTAGTTCCAGAAACTTGTTTTCAGATTGTCTGGGATTTAAGACTCTGATGATGGTATTTTTAACATCTCCTGGAGGTTGTTAATGTGAGCCAGATTTGGAAAATTTTGTAGTAGAAAATCAATCAGCAGAAATAACCATTTTCAGTAGAGGGCATATGGGAATATAAGTCTAATGTTACCAGATTACAGGATAAATGAAAGTAAATTATTTCCTCTTCACCTGGAGCCATGTGAGAAATTATTGCGACTTAAACTATTGCCCAACATGGTTATTGAATAAAAGCACATTTCTTCTGGGTGATATAAAAGCAAGTTTTTATTAGAAATTTGGGTGGAAAATATTAAAAGATTATTTTTATAGCCAGTTCTATTTGACTGAATTTATTCTACCAGTATTGCCAGAAGATTACTTTCTTCATTGACTATTGAAGAGAAAGCTTTGGTTTATTTGAAATTTGCTGTCACTATGGAGAATAAATTTTCTTTTTTTTATTGGTTGTTCAAAACATTACAAAGCTCATGACATATCATCTTTCATACATTTGATTCAAGTGGAGAAGAAATTTTCAAAATTAATTGCATATTGAAAACCCCAAACATTAAAAAAGACATATTTATGTTTAGAAACTGGTCCTGGGTGTGGGTGTAAGGAGATATCTGTAGTTCACATTTACCATTTTATCTCCTGGGCTACTAGATAATTTATCTTAGGCACAGTAAATACATTCAAGTTGTGAGTGCTGTGTATTAATTAATCTGTTCAGTAAATTAAGCACTTCAACTTTTAGTGCTATTAATCAGATTTCAGTGAATATGAGGACTGAATTTTAAGCAGGTTATATTTCATATAGATGGCTTTATCTTTTTGGAAATTCTCCCCTTCTGTAGATATGATCAGATCAGTGATTCTCAAAATGTTGTATGACAGCCAGAGGGAGATGTCCTGGAAAAAAGGAGCAACATCACTTGTTAGTTAAGAATGCTGCCCTACGGATACCCTGCACCCATGAGAAATGCCTGTAGATACATAATCTGATATTAAATTGATAAGAATGACATAGTCAAAAATATAGCAAAATGTACATATAGGCTTTCTGGAGTCTAGGCATTTACTCTTTTATCACATGAAATGGAATGGAATGGAAAAGAAAAGAAAAGAAGAAAGAAGAAAGAAAGAGGGAGGCAGGTGTGAAGGGAAAGAAAGAAAGAGATTTAGTTTATCCAGCATTTTCTAAAATAATATTTATTAATTTTGTTTCTCCTCAGATTGCTAGGGTTTATAAAAAATATGATATGTGCACTTGGGAACTAGAAAAGCTAGCTGGAAACAGTGGCAGATGTCCCCAGCGGCTCAGGAGGCTGAGGCAGAAGAATTACAAGATCAAAGCCAGCCTCAGCAAATTAGCAAGGCTCTAAGCAATTTAATGAGAAAAAACTTAAAAAAGTTCAAAAATTCAAAAAAGGTCTGGGATGTGTCTCAATGCTTAAGCACCCCTGAGTTAAATCCTTAAGATAGATATTTCCTTTTTACTCTCTCTCTCTCTCTCTGTAGCTACATATAGATATATGTATATTTTTAAAACAGAGGGAATAAAAAGAAAATATACAGTTGGTTCAATTCATTTACACTTTAAAATAATTACACCTTTTGAGTTATACAGCCATATGATTTATTATTCATTGCTGTAATATATTTCCCATACACTATCTAATAATTTTAAAAAAAATGAATGTTCCTCTTGATATCAGCTCTCTAGAGATTTCTTTGGCAAATATGTTATTGGATAATTAAACATTTAGAATAGGTGGAATCTTTACATACAAACTGATAATATTTGCCTTCATAAAACAAAATATTAAAACAGAAAACTAAATTACTTTCTTGCAAATATTTTAGATCAGTGAAATAAGTTTCATGAAATTTTCAGATTGGAGTAAGACTCACAAATTTAAAATACCCAAGACTGTATAAAATTAAACTTCTTGGACCAAATGCTGGTATTTCTTTTATAAGAAATAGTATTTGTTTTAGTTTTGAGAAATTAATGCAAAAATACTACATCTTTCTCTTATGCCCTTTTCCTTCATGTATAACTTATTTTTATGCATTAATTCAGTCTTCTTATTTTATATGTGTCTAGTGTACGGCAAAGACTGTAATAATGATCTGCAAGCTATCTATGAATGTAGAGTATATGGAATGTGTGGGAAACAGACATTAATAAAGACAGATATTTAATATAAAATTTTAATAATACTATAGGAGAAGAATGCAAGATCTTATGAAACATTTAGGATCCATTGTCTAAAGTGAAAATCAGGAGTTCTTTTATAATATTTGAACCCAAATCTGAGGATTCAAGTGTCATTTGATTAATTCATAGCGTGTTAGGAAGATAAATGAGAAGTTAATCAGTCTAGAAATGTCAGCATGAAAACATACTTTTATTTAATGAAGTGATAGAAATGGAATCAGAGAGTTATATATTGTTTCAGCAATTGTTGAAGTTTAATTTTATATTATACCTTAACTAATTTTATTTATTCCTGTTGAAAAATAGTCCAGATATTTTCATTGTATATGCCACCACCAAGTTGCTGTAGTATAACAAATCTTTAACCACATGTTGCACATGTTAAATAGTAAGATTCAGTGATACCTATATGAAAGAGCAGTTCTCCTTTTAAAACAGAATATTTTTCAACCAATTACTGAAATTGATAAAGAAAAAATGAATGTCAGGATTTAAAAATATGCAAGATCAGTTCATTGTAGAGTTTGGAAGGTAGATTCTTTATAGAATTATTTTTATCCTAATAGTATTTTTCCTCTGAGCTTCATGGACCAGTGTACTCCCTACTGAAGATAATTTGGGGTTCATACCAGTAGATGTTGGACATGTTCATGAATAACTGATGAATAACTATCCATTAGACACACTTTTACTCCATCATGGATTTTGGTCTTGAAGAAATATGTTAGATACCTGTTCTCAGTTACCTGGCCATCTAGGTAGATGAGTGCACTAGAGAAAATTAAAGGGTTACTGAAATGGAGCTATGAAAACAGCCTGAAGTTCTAGATGAAAGCAAGCTGGGTTTATTAAAATACCACATGTCCCTCATGTATCCACAGGACACTATTTTTTTTAAAGTTAACTATAAATGGATTAAAGAAGGATCCCTGGACCTGGAGTGGAGGGGAGAGAGAGGACCTGAGGCAGATGGAAAGTGCTGGGGACTGAAGCAGAGAAGACTGGGTTCCATGTTTTTGTGTATTCTGGTGTTGTATCATAACTAAATGGTGTAAAAAAAGATACCACATATAGCACTTATTGTTTATACTTGAGACTTGACAGCTAGTGAGGAAGGGTGATAATATACCAGGAATGTGGAATTCTGGAGCATGGAGTGGAGTATCAGAAAGGAGTATGAGGTGCTAGAGGAGGGAAGTATTAAAAAGTGCCCTAGAAAAAGGAAGATTCATATTGAAAAGTGATATGAAATAAGTTTGGGTAAGGGATGTGCGAATTTAAAGGAAAATGGCAATTCGATTAAGGGATCTCCATTTTGGTATTATGAATATTAGAGATTCTTGGACAATGGTGACCAAAAATTGGAATAGAAAGAGTATTCATTTGGGAATTGAGGTTGGTGTTGATTTTTAAACTGCGGGGTATGCAACAAGACTGGAAAGCATGTAGCACATAGTGACATTTAAGTGACAGAACACATATGCCACAGTGTTTCCATAAGATTATATTGGCTAGTAGCATCATAGCCATTTTATTTTGTATAAGTATACATTATGATGTTTGCACAATAATATTATCTAATTATGCTTTTCTCAGAATTCATCCCTATTTTTAAAGTGGTACAGGACTGTGTGCTCATGTACACACAAACACACAGACACATGTATGTACAGTCCATTATGTACTTTACCTAGTTAATCTGAACCTCAAGTGGCAGTGCTTTGTGGTACTTAGTAACTCAGACTGAAATTACACCACCTACCTCTAAATCCTGACTGTTCCTTTCTAGCTGTGTAATACTGAACAAGTTGTTTTTGGCCTCTCTTTGCTGTTGTGGATGTTAAGTGAGTTGCTGCATGTAAACACACCAATACCTAGAGCATAAAGAAGACTATATAAATATGACCTACCATTATTAAGTTGGTCATTATATCTAAGTGAATAGATTATAAATGTATTTAGGGAAAAGAAAAAGGGAAGCAATAATAGAGACAAGAAAAATAAGTCATCATCTAAGTTACTGACATGGGCTTAAAATATCATGGAAAACAGAAATAACACAATTTGACAGTTTCTTCAGTTCTGATTTTTAAGTTTCCTTGATACTAAAAATTTATAAGAGTGTGGGTATTCCCTAGATTTATTTTCCTAGATTTAATCCCTAGATTAAATCTTCTAGGACTAAAAATTACACTCTCATCGTACTGAAAAACAGCTCAAGAATAGATATCTGGAGGATTAGTGAGGTGTTAGACTGTTGTTGTTCTGTATTTTTATTATAGTTATAAATAGTAGTTGGGTTCATCCTGACAAACTCATACATACATGGAGATTGATTCAATTCCTGATCATCTCCCATTTCCCTCCCACCCTTCCTCCCCTCTTCCCTTCTTCTTCATCAACTCAACTTCCTTTGATTTGTCTTTGTTTTTTTGTCCAACAATTACTTTATTTATATTACCATGTTTAAATTATATGGAAAAAGACATTCAAGCAGTTCTACCCCATTTCTGAAAAAAAAAAAAGTTTCCTATCAGCACCAGTGGTGACAAGTAACTTAGATTGGTGACATCTTTGAATAGAGACTTACAAGGAAGAATGGGCTTGGTGCTAAGATTTATCTCTAACAAGAATATGGCTCACTGGCCCACACAGCATGTGAGCACTGAGCCACAGATTCTGCTGGCCACAGATTCTGATCTTGTCTCTGAAGCTTGCAAATTAAATGAACTTTTTTTTTAAGTTTTAAAATTAAGCCCCAAAAAGTTAAAAAAAAAACCATGCTATTGTCTTATTCTCCACTCAAAATCTACATAAAACATAGTTTTTTTCACTCTAATAGCCCAGACTTCTTTCCTCATATAGCTTACCATATAGCTATAGAGAATTTTATGCCTCAAAATCTAAACATAAGGAAAAACAACTGCATAGTATTCTCTATACACACTGCTGTTGGATGGAAAATACAAAATTAAAAAAGTAAATAAAAGAAAAGAAAAAGAAAAAGAAAGAGAGGTTCCATCTTAGATTCTCACAACTTCTTGTTCCTCAGTAAATGAATCTGACACTGGTGCTCAGGTGACAGTGTATGTAAGTAGATTTTTGTTTTCAGTGAAGGAGACCTGGGAAAAGATGGATTTATCTGTTTTTCTTCAAGAGTTGTCATGTGGTACGTGCTCTTCAAAGCCCTCACTCTAGAGCATGTTCCAGGATCAACATTAGCCTTCCTTATAATACTGGCTGTCTTCTATAGCAAGTTTGCTATTGCAGTTTTTGCAGTGCACATCCGAAAACATGTAGCAGCCAGGGAGCATGACCCCATCTTGAACTTCATTGTACTGTAGGTTAACTACCTTGTTAAAAAGAAATGCTCTATCGGTGGCACCTGTGAACCCAGTGGAGCTGAATTCTGAGCAGTTAGTCAGGATCCTGTCACAGTTGGCACAAGAAAACAGATGCATACCACCAATATGATCAAGGAAAATTCTGCTCATTTTCATAGCCAAAGTTCTAAAAAACCCCGAACAGTGGTGCTGTCAGAGGCTGTTAGCTCTTCAGCTGGTACCAAGCCCTTGCTTGTCTCTTAATTTATGTTTGATTGGTTCTATACAATATCCTATCCTTCCCTCCCCATTTCCTTTATTTTTCTCTAGCTTCTGCATGCGAGATAAAACATTCAACCTTTGAGTTTCTGAGATTGGCTGATTTCACTTAGCATGATACTCTCCTTTTCCATCCATTTAGTGGCAAATGCCATAATTTCATTCTTTTTAATGGCTGAGTAGAACTCCATTCTTACAATTTTTAAAATACATTTATTTATTGATGGGGATCTGGGTTCATTCTATAACTTAGCTATTGTGAATTTTGCTGCTATAAACGTTGAGGTGGTTGTATTACTATAGTATGCTGATTTTAGATCTTTTGGAAAAACAATAAGAAGTGGGATAGCTGGGTCATGAGGTGGTTCTAAACCTGGTCTTTAGAGGGGTCTTCATATTACTTTTCAGAGTGGTTGTTCTAGTCTATACTCTCATCCACAATGTACAAGTGTTTCTTTCTCCCCCAAACCTTGGCAGAATTTGTTGTTGTTTGCATTCTTGATCATTGCCATTCTGACTGGAGGGAGATAAAATCTTGGTGTAGTTTTGATTTGCATTTCCCTGATTGCTAGTACTGTATTTCTTCTTTTGAGAAGTTTCTGTTTAGTTCTTTTGCCCATTTATTTATAGGATTATTTGATTTTTTTTGGATGTGTCACGTTTTTTGAGTTTTTACATATTCTGGATATTAATCACCTATCAGAGGAGTAGCTGGCCAAGATTTTCTCCCATTCTGTAGGTCGCTCTTCACTCTCTCATTTCCATTGTTGTGTAGAAGCTTCTTAGTTTGATGAATCCCACTTGTTGATTCTTGGTTTTATTTTTGTACTTTGAAGGTCTTGTTAAGGAGGTTGATGCCAACACCTATAAATGGGGTGTTGAGCCTATGTTTTATTCTTACAATTGTAAAGTTTCTTATCTAATTCCTAAATCTTTGATCCATTTGATTTCAAGTTTTGTGCAGGGTGAGAAATAGGAAACTAATTTCATTTCTCTTACCATAGCTATCTTGTTTTCCTACCACCATTTGTTTAAAAAGCTGTCTTTTATTATATATGCCTTTGTCAAATATCAGATGGCTATAGTATGTGCATTTTTCTCTGTGTCATCTATTCTATTCATTGGTTGTAATGTCTATTTTCATGTCAATACCTTACTGCTTTTGTTTCTATAGCTTTGTAGAATAATTTCAGATTAGAGATTGTGATGCCTTCTGCTTTGCTTTTCTTGTTTACTATTGCTTTCATATTCTGGGTCTCTTATTCTTCCCAATAAATTTAAGAATTGTTTTTCTAAGTCTATGCTGAATGTCATTGGTATTTTTGGTTCTAATTAGTTATAACTGACAGAATGCATTTTGACGCATAATACATAAATGAAATAAAATTTCTCATTCTTCTGGTTGTTCATGATGTAGAATCACACTTGCCATGTAGTCATATAATGTACACATAGTAATAATGTCAGATTCATTCTACTATCCTTCCTACTTCCATACCTGTCCCCTCTCTTCATTCCCCCCAACCTCATCCAAAGTCATTCTATTTTTCCCTAGCCCCCTCCCTTATTGTAAGTTAGCATTCACACATTAAAGAAAACATTCAGTCTTTGTTTTTTTTTGAATTGGCTTACTTCGATTATCATGGTATTCTCTAGCTCCATCCATTTATTGGCAAATGCCATAATTTCATTTTTATTTAAGGCTGAGTAATATTCCATTGTGTGTATAGACTACATTTTCTTTATCTATTCATCTATTTGAGGACACCTAGGTTGGTTCCATCATCCTTGAAACTCTCACCAGAGCAATCAGACAGGAAAAAGGAATTAAAGGGATACACATAGGAAAAGAAGAACTCAGACAATCACTATTTGCCAATGACATGATTCTATATTTAGAAGATCCAAAAAATTCCACCATAAAACTTCTAGAACTAATAAAAGAATTCAGCAAAGCAGCAGGATATAAAATCAACACCCATAAATCTAATGCATTCCTATATATCAGTGATGAATCTACTGAAAGAGAAATTAGGAAAACTACACCATTCACAATAGCCTCAAAAAAATGCTTGGGAATTAATCTAACAGATGAGGTGGAAAACCTCTACAAATGAAAACTACAAAACACTAAAAGAAATTGAGGAAGATCTTAGAAGATGGAAAGACCTTCCATGTCATTGGTATTTTGATGGAGATGGCTTGAATCTGAGTATTGCTTTTGGTAGTATAACCATTTGACAGTATTGATTCTGCCTATCCAAGAACATGGCATGTCCTTCCATTTTCTAAGGTCTTCAATTTCTTTCTTCAGTGTTCTAGAATTTCATTGTAGAGCACTTTTACCTCCTTAGTTAGAATAATTTACAAGTAGCTGTCTTTTTGTTTATCGAGATTATTGGGAACAGGATTTTTTTTTCTGATTTTGTCCTCCATTAAAACACTGTTGGAGTGTAGCAAAGTTGTTGATTTGGAAGTGTTGATCTTGTATTCTTCTACTTTGCTATACTCATTTGTAAGTTCTAGAAGTCTTCTGGTAGAATTTTTTGATCTTATAAATGTAAATATAGGATTATATATACCATCAACAAACAGAGATGGTTTGACTTCTTCTTATCTGTATCCCTTTGATTTCCTTTTCTTGCTTGATCACTCTCACCAATGTTTCAAGGACTATATTGAATATGAATAGTGAGAATCTACAGCCTTGTCTTATTTCTGATTTTAGGGGAAATGGTTTTAATATTTTCTCCATTTAGTATGATGTTGACTGAGTTTGTCTTAAATGGCCATTACAATGTTGAGGTAAGTTCTTTCAATCTTTAACTTCTTCAGAATTTTTAACATGGATTGGTGTTGGATTTTATCAAAACCCTTTTACATCTATTGAGGTAGCCACTTGATTTTTGTTCTTAATAACTAAGCAGAATATCAAATCCACAAACTCATTGCAGTTAACTACATCAAAAGTCTAGAGTATATTATTAAATGAATAACATATGGAAACAAAATATAAAAGAGGAAGCAGTGATTGCCAGAACCTAGAAAGGATTCTCTAAAGAGTAGTGTCTGTAATCAGCCTTATCTTTTGCATCATTAACAAAATACATTTTCAAGGCATTTTTACAATGGTTCCTTAAATTTATTTTACACAAGGCAGAGATACATAAATTATATGTATGGGCTACTAGGTGGATCAATAACTAGTTGAATTGTTTGAAATTGCATTTAAATATATGACATGGAAAAAGGAGAACTATTGATTTGAAGAA